ACTATAATCCTCAAATCTCACCCTCCTGAGTAGCTATGATTACAGGCATGAGCCACCAGCGCCTGGCTCTCTATGAGATTTTTATCTCCAATTAACTACCTGAAAACTGGACATAGAGCTGTGGCTCAAAGTGATAGAGTACTAGACGAGTAAAAAAGCTCAGGGACAGAACCAAGGCCCTGATTTCAAGCCTCATGCCTGACCAAAAAAAGATCTGTTTCCAACATCAAAAAAAAATTTTTTTTAAGCAATATAAAACAAAGCAGAAGTTCTTGCATTGCCTGACAAAGTAAAGTTCAGATGAAAGCAAAATGGTCATTTTGGCTATGGTAGGTTGGGGAGAGACTCTGAGCTTGGTGCTGAGGATACTAACTTTGAAAAAGTAGGTGGTTGGGTACTGGTGGCTCATGCCTATAATCCTAGCTATTCAGGAGGCTGAGATCTGAGGATCTTGGTTCAAAGCCAGCCCAGGCAGGAAAGGCAATGAGACTCTTATCTCCAATAAACTCAGAAAACTGGAAGTGGTGCTGTGGTTCAAGTGGTACAGCACTAGCCTTGAGCTGAAGAGCTGAGGGACAGCACCCAGGCCCAGAGTTCAAGCCCCATGACCGACAAAAAAGAAAAGAAAAGATATAGGTGATGTGGACATACAGTCCTGCCTTGCTGCTGTGGTCTTAAACAGTATCCACATAGCTGTTGTGTAGCTGCCTCTTCTGAGCAGACAGCAGAAATCCTTGTGGTGGGAAAGGATGGAAATCTCAACAGCTGTGGCAATGCTAGTGGGTAATCATGCTGTGAGGAAGACAAGAGCAAATGTTTTGGTGATTAAACAAAATACTTACTTCTTTGCCTTTCTTTCCAGATCATCTCTTCTTCAAGAAGCTGCTTTGCAAGTTTGGCCAATGTCTGTTCAGGCCTGCTGTGAGTAAGGAAGTTTGGAGAAGTTAGAGAAGTCAACTCCTGCCCTGAAAACTAAAATAAATCTTCTGGGGGATTTCCTCAGAAGCCTTTCAATTACTGCCTTAATTTTCATCCTCATGTATAAATTAATATAAATCATGTTCATGTCTTGAATGTAGTGAAGGTCTATCAAATAAAAGGAATAATTTTGCTATCCTCGTGTTGAAATATAAATCATGGTATCCATGGTCTGTGGTGCAGTATGCTAGCATCTTGTATGAGCCCATTTGTTGGGCAGTGTGTTTAAAGGAGAAACTGAGGGCATGCTTGGCTGCTCTGGGGATAGGTAATTCAGAAGAGGGCCGGAGGAGGTAGAGTATGGAGCAAGACTTGCCTCTTGCTTTACATCTTTCTATATTGTTAATCCCCACCTTCCTCCTCAAATATTGTGTGTGTGTGTGTGTTGGTATTGGTATTGGGGATTGAACTAAAAGCCTCATGCACTCCCTTATATTTTTCCACTCAAGGCTGGTGCTCTGCCACTTACCCACAGCTCTACTTCTGGCTTTTTGCTGGTTAATTGGAGATAAGAATCTCATGGATGGCCGGGCACTGGTGGCTTCTGCCACCAGTAATCCTAGCTACTCGGGAGGCTGACATCTGAGGATCACGGTTCAAAGCCAGCCCAGCAGGAAAATCTGTGAGACTCTTATCTCCAATTAACCACCAGGAAACCAGAAGTAGTGTTGTGGCTCAAGTGGTAGAGCACTCATCTTGAGCTGAAGAGCTGAGGGACAGCGCCCAGGCCCAGAGGTCAAGCCCTCTCACCAAAAAATCTCATGGATGGACTTCTCTGCCTGGGCCAGCTTCAAACTGTGACCCTCAGATTTCAGCCTTCTGATTAACTAGGATTACCATTTTGAGTCACCAGGGCCCAGCTGTAGTTTACGTAAGTAGCAGTGAAACGTTTTTTCCACTGAGAAGTAGCTCTTACTCCATTAGCTGTTGAGTCCATCTTTTTTCTTATGGCTGTATATTATGTCAACTGTCTTCTGTTCTCTACTGTGAGTACTTATAATTCCTATTTTAATATTTTAATTTTTTTGTACTATGACTTGCATTGTTTCATAAAGTCTGCTACTAAAAATAATGTTGCAGAGCCAGGCCCTGGTAGTTGGCGTGCGCAGTGCACACACAGACAAAATAGCAGTGGGGCTGAAACTATAGCCCAGTGGTAGAATGTTTGGCTGGCAAAGCCCTGGGTTTGATTCTCCTGCACACACAAAAAAGAAAACAAATAATGTGGTAATGAATAGATGCTGGTAGAAAAAAGAATTCACATGTATTTTTACAATTGGTGCAAAAGCATCTATTAGATAAATTCTGAGCAATGGGCTTCAAAACAGGAGCCAGTCTTGGACTGATAATGTGTGTGGTAAATTATATCACAACAGATCTTTCTATTCAGTTTATAGCCTCGTTTTACCAAAAGGCAGACTTGGAGTTGCACTGCCCAATGAACTTGTCATCTGATTCTGGAGACTCTGCTTCTGGCTGCCCCTCTGAGCTTTTCCTCCTGCCAGGCTTGTCAGAGGCAGAAAGCTCTGTCCATTTTATATCTCTCCAGAAATGAGGGATAACAAAGGTGCTAGATGCAGAGGGGAAAAAATAAAAGAGGTCAGGGATACTCCTGAATCTCCCACTTGACAGGGATTTTGTGCAATTGATCCTTGATCTCTGCTAATGAAGAAGTGTCACAGGTCAAGTGGGAACTTGTCTTCAGGATCTGCAGAAGCATTAGTACTTGGGGTACAGATTAGTGGGACTCCAGAGATGGCCCAGTACCTTTACCTTGGGGCTGGAAGGCCCTGGTTCAGCCAGTGTGTTGTGGTTCCCCTGACCCCATTCTTAGCCTTCTCTGGTCTGTTAAGGCCTTCCTTGCCCATATTAGTAATGTTACTGATAAACAGATTGTTCTGTCCCTTATCTGCACCTCAGAGGCTGTTGCTGTGCCTTGAGGATGTCTACATACCCTTAATTCAGCAAAGATGGTGGCACTGCGTGCTGCCAAGTACAGCAGATTGCAGCAGAATGACTTGGATCTGTGTCAGCTTCCTATGACCCTCATGGTGCCCACAATAGACCAAGCCACTAGGCCTATCTAATGGAGTACCAGGGCAAAGGGGTTTCTGCAAGGTGAGAATTTGTAAGGAGGAATTAAACATTTCGGGTAGCTACAGGCTTGGACTGTGGGTGGATAGGGGCCAGACTGGAAGAAATAGTGTTCAGATAAATATGTAAGCTCTTTTGTTGGCACACTGTATCTGGTGATGTTAACAAGCTCAGCTGCAAATACGATTACTTCCATTTAGTTTGGAGAGACATTTATAGGCCACTTTTTGCTGATAGGCAATGCAAAGCTGCTAAGGGAAGAGTAAGCCGGGATGTGGGGCATTGCTTCCAGGCTTAACTGTCACTGTGCACTAAGGATGACAGGTTTCTTTTGTGCTTGAGACGCTAGATACATTTTAGGAACATCTGCACCAGGCTGTAGTCATAAAACCACATGTAGCATTTATTTATAGAATATTGCAGTGACTGCTTGAATGTGATAAAGGTCAGGGACTAATTACTTGTAATACAACTCAGAGGAATTCTCTTCATTTATTCTTCAGATACAAGATACATCCACCTCTGACCTCAAAGTACCCTCCAGCTTCTCCCCCACCGCACCCTTTTTTTTTTTTTTTTGTGACAGGCTTTGCTATGTATCCCAGGTTGGTTTCCAATTAGAAATCCTGGCCCAGGGGCTGGGAAGGTGGCTCAGTGGTAGAGCGCTTGCCTTGCATGCTCGAGGCTCTGGGTTCGATTCCTCAGCACCATATAAGCAAAAAGAAAAAAGCCGGAAGTGGCGCTGTGGCTCAAGTGGTAGAGTGCTAACCTTGAGCTGAAGAGCTGAGGGACAGCGCCCAGGCCCAGAGTTCAGGCCCCACGACCGGACCCAAAAAAATAATAATAAAAAAAAAAAAAAAAAAAAAAGAAATCCTGGCCTGGTTCTGGGTTATAGCCACCATACCCAGTTCTCAGTGTTTTTTTTTTTTTTTTTGTCTTTTTTTTTTCTTTTCTCTTCCTCTGTTTCTTTCTTTTCTTTTCTTCTTTTTTTTTTTTTTTTTTTTTTTGCCAGTTCTGGGGCTTGAACTCAGGGCCAGGGCCTGGGCGCTGTCCCTGAACTGCTTCAGCTCATTGCTAGCGCTCTACCATTTGAACCACAGCGCCACTTCTGGGTTTTTCTGTCTATTTTTATTGGAGGTGAGAGTTTCACTGACTTTTCTGCCCAGGCTGTCTTCAAACCACGATCCTCAGATCTCAGCCTACTGAGTAGCTAGCTAGGATCAGAGGCGCCCGGCTAGGATACACTTTTTCTTTTCTTAATTATTTTTTACTGTTATTATAAAGGTGATCATACAGGACACACCTAACTTTTGTAAGTTTTGTTTGTTTGTTGTCAGTGCTGGCGGTTGAACTCAGGACTTGCAGCTCTGGCCCGGTTTTCTTGCTCACCAGAACTGGAGGTGTGGCTCCAGTGGTAAGGCCGTCCAAGCCCAGCATTTCGCTGGTTAATTGGAGATTAGAAGGACGCCTAGGCTTTTTTTCTGCCAGGCTCTCGGAACCACAGTCCTCTAGCTAGATCTCAGCCTGCGCTGCAGCGCTGAATTCCGCTTTTAAAGATCTGATACCCGCCCTGTCATTAGCTCCTGGGGGCGGAGGTTACCGTGAGAGCACCTGCACCGTGAGACCGGATTTTGCTACTTGTCTCCTCCGCATCGCCCGGCCGGGTGGCTCAGTGGTCCCTGCGTCTTTGCCCCGATGTGGTCCCGCACCGGGGCTTCGCGCCCCGCACCCGGGGCGTGGAGATCGCTCCCACGCGGCGGGGCAAAGCGCTCGCACGTGGGTCCCTGGCTTCCCGCCCCGCCCCGCCGCCCCCGGCCCTGGCTCGGCGCGGATTGGCGCCGCCGCGCGTCGCTCTCCGCGCAGCTGGGGAGGGGGCGCCGCCGGCTGCGGTTCTTCGGCGCAGGGCCCTCGCTCCCGCACCACGGCGGCTCCCTCGCCGCCGGAGTGCACGCCGACCTTGGCAGCGGGGCTGACCCGGGACCCCGCGTGCGCTCTCGGTAAGCCAAGGCGGGACGGGGAGGCTCGCGGGCAGTGTGCGGGTCCGCCGGACCCCGCGCGCGGGCATCGGAGCGGTGGGGGGGGGTGGAGGGAGGTTCCCCCCCCGCACCTCGGGCCGCGCGTGGGGTCTGCCGGCATCTCAGCCCCTCCGCAAGCTCGGCTTGCCCGCAGCATTTCCCCCTGGTTAGCCTTTGAGGGGAACGGTGAGGGGGGTGGGGGCTGTGATCGTTGGAAAGCTGTCAGCTTGGAAGTGGGGCTCGGTTCCACGCCCCCGACCGCAGCCTGCCCGGGGCGCCGGGCCGGGAGCGCCGCCTTCGTCCTGGCTTCCCCTGGGGCGGCTGCGCCTCGCTGCCCGAGGGGCCGGGGCCCGGCGGCGTGTTCGGGGCTGGAGACAGCTCCCCTCGGGCGGAAGGCGCGCCCTTTGCTACAAAGTTTCTCTTCGTCTACAGGCTCTACCCGCCCCCCCCCCCCATTCCAGTGAGGCTTCTGTTTGGGTATTAATTTCTACAGAGTGATATTATATTCACTTGAGCTTCGCAAGCAACTCTCGGGTCCAGTCAAGCTAGGTTCCAACGATCCATTCCTAAATGTGATCTAATTTTAGTGTTTCTACTAGCGGTACACTCTCTGCTTAATTTAAAAACAAACCCAAAAACCTCAGCCCTGGAGAACTGCAGAGATGAGGGGGAAAAGTGCTAATCAGCGGAGGTTCTAGTGTTTACTGAAGTATGTGTGGAGAGAGACACTGTAAAAATCTGTGTGTGTGTGTGTGGTGTGTGTGTAGAAGGGTTTGAACTCAGACCCTCGTGCAACTGTTCCTGTTTTCTATGGATGTGCTGGAATGACTTTTTTTGTTAGAGGCATGGAGCATGCAGTGTCCATCCGGAGCCCATAAAATGGTTTTTCAGGATTCTGGTTCCTTCTACAGCTCATGGAATTAAGGACTACCCAAATGAGGCTTCAGAGGTTTACATAAAAAGGGTCCTTTGCCTAAATTAAGATTCACACTAGCTAAATCCATAGAATTTTTGTTAAATGATCATTTATACCTCTATTCTTTGCTGTCTCGTGTGTGTGTGTGTGTGTGTGTGTGTGTGTGTGTGTGTGTGTAGAGGGGAGGGATGCTTATTGTGCTTATTGTTTGTTTTGAGCTGATTTTACTGTGTCCTTGAACTCCCTGTTCTCCTTTCTCAGCCTCCTAAGTAATGGAATGCAAACGATAGTTTTATAATACCAAAAGCTCAGAGTCATTTGATTCAATTATGAGTTGATAGGTTACATTATGGCCAATTAAATGACCATTTATCGACTTTAAACATTGTTTTGATAAACAGATCTATTGCAGTTTGACATTTTCAAAGAACTCAGAAGCAAGCAGTCCTGTGTTGAATGTGAGCCCTGTTACCTACTATCTTTGAAACCTCAGGCAGCAGCTCCATCTGCAGATGGCGATACTACCACCTACTCACTGCGATACTGTGCTGCAGGTTAGACATGGATGTAAAAAGTACTCTGCACTGCCTAATGTACAAGAGTTGCTCAATAAATGTCAGCAGTTATCATTATTAACTCTTACCTCCAACTGTGTGCAGTTTATGATGGAAAAGGACGAATAGCAGATACTTAAATGAAAATGTCAAAGCAATGCAAGCAATGTAAGAGGGGAAAATGGCAATAACATTAAATTTTTCTAAGAGTATATATGAAAAGTAGCACAGCTTTGATGGAACATACATTTTTAGAACAGGAACCTTATGGTCCAATGAAGCAAACACTAGAGGGTCAAAATCTCTACTTCTAACTCTGGCTATGACTTTATCTAGCTACACAGCTTTCCACAAGCTAGCTGCCCCCTCTGGACTCGATTTTATCATTTGGATGGACTTGAATAATCCATGTACTTAGGAGCTTGGTGTCTTTATTTTTTTGGATCCGGTCGTGGGGCCTGAACTCTGGGCCTGGGTGCTGTCCCTCAGCTCTTCAGCTCAAGGCTAGTGCTCTACCACTTGAGCCACAGCGCCACTTCCGGCTTTTGTCTTTTTGCTTATGTGGTACTGAGGAATCAAACCCAGGGTCTCAGGCATGCAAGGCAAGTGCTCTACCACTGAGCCACCTTCCCAGCCCCGAGCTTGGTGTCTAGTAAAATCATTTGCTGCAGGTAATAAAAATTACACTAAGTCACTTACCAACCTGTGTTGTTAACAGTTGCTTGTTAAACTTGCAACTTTCAGTTATAAGAAATCCATAAAGAGGGGGAGGGAGGAGGCTGGAAGGGAGGTGAAGGGTAAACAAAGGAGGAGGCTGCAATGCTTGGTAAGAAATGTATGCATTATCCTGCCCATGTAATTGTAACCCCTCTGTACAGTATGCTCTCAAATAAAATAAAATTAAATTAAAAAAAAAAAAAAGAAATCCATAAAGAGGGCTAGGAAGGTGGCTCAGTGATAGAGCGCTTGCCTTGCATGTATGAGGCCCTGAGTTCGATTCCTCAGCACCACAAAAGAAAAAAGAAAAAAGCCGGAAGTGACACAAGTGGTAGAGCGCTAGCCTTGAGCTGAAGAGCTGAGGGACAGCAACGAGGCCCAGAGTTCAGGCCCCATGACCCGACCCCCGCTCAAAAAAAAGAAAGAAAGAAAGAAATCCATAAAGACAGCACAACCTGGGCACCAGGGCTCAGGCTTAAAATCCTACTCAGGATACTGATCTGAGGAGCATGGTTCAAAGCCCAGAAAGAAAGTCTGTAGGACTCTTATTTCCAAATAACTAGCAAAAAAACAGAAGTGGAGCTGTGGTTCAAGTAGTAAAACACTAGTCTTGAGCACAAAAACTCAGAGACAGTCCCCAAGTCTGAGTTCAAGCCCCAGGACCAGCACATACACATGAATTGATGTTACATTTGCCAAGTAGTACAAAATGAAGTTTTGACAAACATGACAGAATGAAATGGATTAACTTTTTTTTCTAGAGAAAAAGTTAACTCTAATTTATATTCTGCAGTCATTTCAGGAAGTTATTTTTATATGAAAAACATGCTTTGGTAGACTCTTACACACTTAATTGAAATAGCCTGTGTTAACAATAATTGGCTCATGGTGAAATAAAATCCCATTCTCTTCTCTCTCATCAGGTTGATCTTTACATAAAGGAAGAATATATCTGGTAAAGAGCTTTTATGAAGAAGTTAAAGAGAGAAATTATAAGCAGTGGAGATCTAGGCATTTGCGTACTGGAGAAACCACTTAGAACAACCGTGTGGAGTAGACAAAAGGAATGAATTGGTCTGGAAGAAACTATACTTAGGACCCACCTTTGTGTCATTAAAGGCTGCTGAAGGAAGAGTAGAGTGTGCTGGAAAATGAAAGAGTGTAGTGTCAAAATGGAGACTGCAGTTTCAGAAATCCAAGTAGAAAACAAGGATGAGAAGAGATCAGCACAAGTTTGCCCTCAAGATGAGAGACAGGAGGGAAAAGCGTCCATGCTTTGCTTCAAGAGAAGAAAGAAAGCAGGCAAAACAGCCAAGGCACGGAAAGCCAAAGCCAGCTCTGAGGCTGCCCCTGTGGCTAGAACGTGTCCCCCAGAAACAGGAAGTTCTGATCAGCCACAGCGCCCAGGAGCTGGGGCCTGGGCCTCAATCAAGCGTCTTGTAACACGCAAGAAAAGGTCAGATACATCAAAGCAGCAAAAGTCATTTGAGGCCGAAGTACAACTTGAAAGAAAGCCCAAGGATCCTGCTCTTTCAAAGAAAAAGTCAAAATCCAGACTTCAGATTCCCTGCCTAAAATACTCCAGAGGGGCACAAAGGAATAATCATTCCAAAATTATAGAAGATTCAGACTGCAACATCAAAATCCAAGGCGAGGCTGAAGGTTTAGAGATACAAACTCAGGCTCAATCCGATGATCAGGTAATCAAAGCTAAGTCAACCCAAGAATTGAGTGAAGGAGTCTCACAGAAAGATGAGCTAGTCTGTGAAGCAAATGGGAGCAGCAGTGTAACAGCTGGAGAGAATGTGATTTCCGTGGAACTTGGCCTAGATAATAGGCATTCAGCTATTCAAACTGAAACTGTAATCCTTGAAAAGGAAGTTGAAGTGATAGAGGACAAACAAAGCACTGAATCCCAGCAAAAAAGCCCGCTGGAAAGTTTAGAAACTGGCAGTCAGCACCCAGTGGCTTCCGTTGCTCTTCCCCAACCTATAATTCCAGATCAACAAATGGTGGAAGAATCCAATGACAGGATCCAAGAAAGTGGAACAAACTGGAAAGACAATGAAAGTGGAGAGCGTGCAGTGGAGGAGAACAAGCCAAAAGATGCTGAATTGAGCCAGGAATCAGATTTGAAAGAAAATGAGATCAGTGCTGAAAAACCCAAATCAGAAGAAAGCAAAAGAATGGAGCCAATTGCTATTATCATCACCGACACTGAAATCAGTGAATTTGATGTTAAGAAATCTAAAAATGTCCCTAAGCAGTTCTTAATTTCAGTGGAAAATGAGCAGGTAGGGGTTTTTGCTAATGATAGTGATTTTGAGGTTAGAACTTCAGAACAATATGAAATACTCTTAATAGAAACAGCCTCTTCGCTCGTCAAGAATGCTATCCAGTTGTCTATTGAACAGCTGGTTAATGAAATGATCTCTGAAGATAATAAAATAAACACACTTCTACAGTGACTTAATTTTCCATATCCTGGGTGGTTTAAAAAAAAAAAGCTTAAAAGCAAATTATTTTACACATTTGTGGCACTTCTTTTTCGTAAGGAATAAAAGGCTTATCCGTGGAATTTAAAAGTACAACTCAAGAAGTGCTCAAGAATAAAAGTTATAAACCGTTCTTTACCCTGAAATACATTCACTTCTGGACTGGAGGAAGTCAGTGCAGATTGTCATGCAAAATGACACATAGGGAGGTGCTAAAATAGCTTTTGGATATTGGAGTACTTTGGGGAAGGATGTATTTATTGAGCACTTTCTTACGCTGTACTCTCTTTACTGTTCCCTGATGTCACTAGTCTGGTTCCCTTTGGATAATTCAATTCTGGATAGGTTAACATTGCACCCAGTTTTCAAAAACTTTTCTTTTTAGCAATGCATTTTTTATGTTGTGTAAAGTGGTGAATAAGGTGAACGCTTTGTGAATTTGTGATTTATAGTTGTTAAACTCCTAAGCAGTAGTCTTACCCCCAAAAAAGGTCTTCTATTTTTCTCATTTTAGCAGAGTGCAGAAGAAGCATAGCAGACATAAACATGAGTGGTTTTGTTCCCTTGCTCAAGTCACTTACAAAAGCTAATCCTGAGTTCCTTCAAACAGGCAAATAGTTGCCAAGTACAAAAGCTCAGTTTCCCTTTGCCTAGTAGACTTATATAGATCTACTTCTGTGTGGGCTTATCTGCTCAAGTTAAAAACAAATAGCTGGAAGCGGGGCACCGGTGGCTCTCACCTGTAATCCTAGGTACTCAAGAGGCTGAGATCTGAGGATCGTGGTTCAAAGCCAGCCTAGGCAGGAAAACTCCTTGAGACTCTTATCTCCAATAAACCACCAGAAAACGGAAGTGCCGCTGTGGCTCAAGCAGTAGAGCGCTAGCCTTTAGCTGAAGAGCTGAAAAACAGTGCCCAGGCCCAGAGTTCAAGCCCATGACCGACCAAAAAAAAAAAATTAAAAACACAAATAGCTGGGTGCTGGTGGCTTATACCTCTAATCCTAGATACTCAGGAGGCTGAGATCTGAGGATCATGATTCAAAGGCAGCCAGGGAAGAAAGTCCCTGAGATTCTTATCTCCAATTAACCACCAGAAAGCCTGAAGTGGAGCTGTGGCTCAAGTGGTAGAGCACCAGCCCTGAGCTTTGAGTTTGATTCCCAGGACCAGCACCAAAAAAAAAGAAAATTTAGTGAATTCGATGATTTTAAATGACAGTAATTTACTCATTATGTGAGAAAAAAAATTACATGATTACTGAAAATTAACTTTTTCATCATAGTTTTTTGTTTTTTGTGTTTTTGGTTTTGGTTTTTTTTTTGCCAGTACTGGGGCTTGAACTCAGGGCCTGGGCACTGTCCCTGAACTTCTTTTGCTCAAGGCTAGAACTCTACCACTTGAGCCTCAGTGCCACTTCTGGCTTTTTCTGTTTATGAGGTACTGAAGAATCGAACCCCGGGCTTTGTGTATGCTTGGCAAGCATCTACCATTAAGCCACATTCCCAGCCCCGCTTATCATAATTTCTAATCTGGCTAATACTCCCAAAACTGAGAAGGGTTCATTTGCATTTTTATTCAGCTATTTAAAGGGAAGCAGCTAATGACATCAATGATTGCCATGTGTTTTTCAAAATAATTTTCAACATTTTATTTCGCTATTCCAATGGTCATGATATTACAACACACCTCCCTACTTCAGTTTGTAGTTCATATTGCAAGTCCACTACTGAGTGACAGTATTATTATTTGAAACAGATGGAATCCTGGAAATAGAAGAAGTATGAATGGTAGAGTAAAAGTTTCATTTTTGAGGAAAGAATGTACACTAGATGGTTTAAAATTATCTGGTTGAGTTCTTATGTTACTTATGGGTTGCATATAGGAAATATGTGCTAATTTTTCCTATAGTTTCTTTTTTCTCTAAATATTATGATCTCTGACAAAAGAAATGAATCTGACTTTGGCATTGAGCCAAACAATGGGTATTATAAGCAAGATTCTTTGCTGAAGTACAAAAGTATCCCGCCCCCCCCCCCCCCCCCCCCCCCCGGCCAGGCTTTCCTATCTCCATGCTTACAATGGGGTCCCTTCAATTTGAAACACATGACCCCCCCAAATCTATTGCTTTTAATTGAAACACATGACCCCCCAAATCTATTGCTTTTAATTGTATAACTTTTAAACATTTAAAAAAAGAAACCAAAACACTGTTTTGTCATCCTTGGAAATACTTTTTTTTTTTTCCTGTCGGTCATGGGGCTTGAACTCTGGGCTTGAGTGCTGTCCCTCAGCTCTTCAGCTCAAGGTGAGCACTCTACCACTTGCGCTACAGCGCCACTTCCGGTTTTCTGGTGGTTTATTGGAGATAAGAGTTTCACGGACTTTCCTGCCGGGGCTGGCTTTGAACCATGATCCTCAGATCTCAGCCTCCAGAGTGGCCAGGATTACAGCTGTGAGCCATTGGTGCCCGGCCTTGAAAAAACTCTTAAAGACAACCCAGGCAGGAAAGTCCATGAGACTTATCTCCAATTAACCACCAGAAAACGGAATGGAGCTGTGGTTCAAATTGGTAAAGTGCTAGCCTTGAGCAGAAGAGCTCAGGAATAGCACCCAGACCCTGAGTTCAAGCCCCAGGATATAACAAAACATAACAACAAAAAACTTTTTAATTTACTTTATGTGATGCTTGGAAACATGGAAAGCTACCAGCAAATATTGCTTTAAAATGAACAATCTGAAAAAACCTGATAAAGCCAGGTGTGGGTGGCTTGCACCTATAATCCTAGCTACTCAGGAGGCTGAGATCTTAAGTCTGCATTTCAAAGCCAGTTCAACAGTAAAGTCTGTGAGAGTCATTTCTAATTAACCACCAAAAAGCTAGAATTGGAACTGAGGTTAATTGGCCCTGAGTTCAAGCACCAGGACCGGCAAAAAAAAAAAAAAAAAAGCCAACCAAACAAAAAACATGATTAAGGTTGAATTAAGTATTTTGAACAATTCTGTACCCATTTATTACAAGAATGGCTCAATATACATGCTTTGTAAATTTTTAATAATCTCTTATGAATGAGCAAAAAGAACAGTACTTAGCAGTACTGAAAACATTTTGGAAGATTTGGGAATATTTATTTGGGATTTTAAAAACCAGATACAAGATAAATATGTGCAGTGAATTTTCTGCTTAAAATAGTATTTTACGTAAGTAGTTCTAGGTTGTTGTTTTTTTCCTGTCCACTGTGGTTTATAAATATATTTTTTTGTTAGAATACATAATGATTGTTTTCATGATAAGATGTGTATTCAGCTAGCAATTCATTGTTAAGTGATTTCTCCTCAGTCTTCTCTGGTGAATTAAATGAGTAGAACTTTGGTTTGAAAACAATATAAAGATTAATCGGTCTTAATCTGATATATCTGCTACATGGCCAAATCCTGTTATAGTAGATTTTAAGGTAATTAAAATTGTTTCATTGTTATAGAAATAAACAGAAATCCTCCATAAAATATTTTTATCATAGTAGCACTTATTTTAAGCAATTTGACATTATATGCAAAACATTATTTGACTAGTTTCTGATTCAGCTTCCATACAGTTGACATTAAAATGATGACTTAAAAGGCTTAAATTTAGTATCAATTTTAACCTGTTGTGATATAAATGCTGCTTTTAATGAATATTTATTAGCTATTATTTGTTTTCTCATTGAGCTGTTTTATAAGTTGGTAGACTCATAATCTTATTTGATTTTTCTCAGCACATTATCTTTCCCCTTTTAAGAGTCAAAAAACATTTGCTTTGCTTCTTTACAATACAGAGAAAATGAATATTCTCTTTGATTTTATGTAGCACTATTCACTTAACATTTTTTCAAAGCACTTCATAGGATATAAAAATAGTACCTCCTGGTAACATTTAAGTAAAGGTAGCAGAAAAACAAAAGAACTTTGAAACAGAAATTATATGCCCTACCAACTCCTCCACCTCAAAGAATAATAAGCATGTGGCACAAATGAATTCTTCAGAAAAGCTGTCTGCATAATTTTCTTTCAAGGTAATGTATTTGACAGCATGAAGATTATGATGATCTTACTTGGTCTACTATTTAGTGGAATCTTAGAACCTTTCCCATTTACTTCTGAGAGATTATATTACTTCACCAGTATATTGAATGGGCTTCTTGCTACAGAATGTGAGAGATAGGGTTTAGGGCAGGATGCCAGTAAAATCTAGCTTCTGCATGTAGTCCAGAGGTAATGCACCCATAAGTTTCTAACTTCAAGTTGCCTTATTTTTTTATAGTTAAGATTTTTTTAGGGGTTAACAAGCAGAATTTTAAAAATAATTGTTAGACTTTAGAACTGTGTTATTTGAAAATATGTTTTTAATATCAATTTTTCCGAAATAATCCAAGTCTTCTAATTTCATCTCGTATTAAATATACCAGGGTTTGACTACTCTGCCTGACATTTCTGTATTTTTAAAAATATCATTTTAAGTTTTAGAGGGCTGGTTGTGTGTGTGTGTGTGTGTGTGTGTGTGTGTTCATGTATGTGCCAATAATGGGGCTTGACCTCAGGGCTTCAGGCTCTTGCTTATTTTAACTTTTTAGCTCAAGGCTGGTGCTCTACTACTTGAGCCACAGCCCCAGTTCCAGCATTTTGCTGGTTAATTGTAGATAAGAGTTTTTCTGATTTGTATGCCTGGGCTGGCTTCTCACTGTGATCTCTAATCTAAGTCTCCTGAGTAGCTTAAGATTGCACGTGTGAGCCACTGGTGCCCAGCTAGTTTTAGAATTCTTTAGGTTCAAATTCTTACGAAGTTTTCTTATATGACATAAAGTTTATTACAGTTCAGATTTCACAATCTTGATCCATAGTAAATTTTGTAGTCCACTTTTTTTGCAGTTTGTTGTTGTTTTTTCTCCCCTTTCTTTCTGGTCCTAGGGCTTGAATTCACTGCCTGGGCGCTGAGCCTCTTTGTGTTCAAGGCTAGAGCTTTACCACTTGAGACACTACTTTTAGCCTTTTTTGAGTAGTTTTTTGAGTAGTTTATTGGAGATGAGTTTCATGGACTTTACTGCCCAGGTTGGCTTCTAACCGAGATCCTCAGATCTCAGCCTCCTGAGTAGGTAGGATTACAGGTGTAAGCCACCAGTGCCCAGCTGGAAAGGTTTTTTATTTTGTTTTTGTAATGCTCTTTATTTAGTTGCCCAAAAGTTATTTTATTAGAGTGAGTTTACATGACATTTGGGTTCCCAGGTTTAATTCAGTTTGTTTCAACCTCCAGACATGTTGATGATCCTCATCCTCCACCCTCCTCTCCTTCCAGGGGATAGGGTTGACAAAGAAGCTGGGACAGGTGTAGAACCACAAGTGTCAGTGGAGGGTAATTGAGAGCAATTAATTTTGTCTAGGGTGGGGAAGGTGGG